CCAGGGCAGAGACATCCTCCCCTGGCCCGTCCCAGCTAAGGTAGGAAGGGATGGGATGGGGAGAGTGTGGGGATCCTGGGCTAGGGGTGGGATCATGTGGGGGGTAGTCACGGGGTTACTCCACTGACCCCCAGCTTCTCCCCCCCCCAAAAAATTTCCCCACTGGTTGCTGTCCTGGCCCATCAGGGTAAGCAGCTGGTGCACTGGGACACTTTGTTTACTTAGGTTTACCTCTGTGCCTGCAGATGCTCGAGGTAAACAAACCATGTTGGCCCACCAGCAGCTTATCCTAATGGCCCGGGAGCCAAAGTTTGCCGACCCCTGAAGTATTGGGTTGGCTTATGAATGGGTCATAAAAAATTTCCATTTTACCTTGGGGAGGTCAGCTTATAAACTAAGTGGCTTATGATTATGTACAGCATTTCCCGATTGTAGGTATGACAGCTGAGTTTGAGAACATTACTTTGTGAGATATTCTTACCAAACCAGACCCTCTGTCTTTCTCCATCTTAATTTAGGAGTCTGTTTAAATCTAAATGACTGAATCCTTGAATGTGTCTGGACTAGGAATGTCCACTAGGAATTCTTTCTGTATGTTCTCAAAAAACATTAAAGCATTTAACTGGATGGCTCAGGAGATTGCTAATGGGTTATGGAGCTTTTCAACTCTCTGCTCACTAGTTCACTCTAGCTTGAGTTAGTGCTTACCAAAAGTTTCAAAGTGATTGTTTACGCATTAATATGTCCGGTTGTCTTAGTATATTATGTATATTTGGCAGACTATGTATAATGTGCTTGGTTGTCTTAATCTAGTTCCTATTGCTGCCATGCCATCCCATAAACCACTGATACCCTTACTGGTATTGTGATGTCCTACTGAGGACACCCAGAACTGTGAGCCAGTGTGCTACACCTCTGCCTTAGCAAGAGTGAGAGCTTTGCTGCTGCTATGCCGTGTGTCAGCTCCCTGACACACCAGCCTGTTTGCCTTGCCAGCAAACTCTTCAAAACTCTGCCTATCTATACCTTGCTTTGCAGGTAATGATCAGGGAACCCCAGTCTCCCTGCAGTGTCTAGTCCCTCTTGCTGGATGGTCGCAGAAATTATTCGGTTCCCTGCCTCCAAAAAAACAGACACATCAGCCTGTTAGGTGAGCTGAAGATTCACACGTCAGTTTAATATGCAACACTGAGATGGTTTTGTAATAAAACAAGAATAAATTTGTTAACAAAGAACAGAGATTTAGGTGATACTAAGCAAGAGAAAAAGAGACCGCAGTGGTTACAAATAAACCAAAATAAAACCGTCTTTCTAGAGACTAAAATTTAAGATTAGCAAATTATAATCTTTGCCTAAGCAGTTTTCATATTCACAAGTAGTTATTAATGGTTCCCAATCCTGCTGGAAAGGTATAACAAATGGGGTTCCGCAAGGGTCTGTTTTGTGACTGGCTCTGTTCAATATCTTCATCAACGACTTAGACATTGGCATAGAAAGTAGGCTTATTAAGTTTGCAGATGATACCAAACTGGGAGGGATTGCAACTGCTTTGGAGGACAGGGTCATGATTCAAAATGATCTGGACAAATTGGAGAAATGGTCTGAGGTAAATAGGATGAAGTTTAACAAAGACAAATGCAAAGTGCTCCACTTAGGAAGGAACAATCAGTTTCACACATACAGAATGGGAAGAGACTGTCTAGAAAGGAGTACGGCAGAAAGGGATCTAGGGGTTATAGTGGACCATAAGCTAAATGTGAGTCAACAGTGTGATGCTGTTGCAAAAAAAGCAAACATGATTCTGGGATGCATTAACAGGTGTGTTGTGAGCAAGACACGAGAAGTCATTCTTCCACTCTACTCTGCGCTGGTTAGGCCTCAACTGGAGTATTGTGTCCAGTTCTGGGCATGGCATTTCAAGAAAGATGTGGAGAAATTGGAGAGGGTCCAGAGAAGAGCAAT